TGCTATGCTATGCTATGCTATGTATGTATCTATGTATGTATGTATGTATGTATGTATGCATGTATGTATGTATGTATGTATGTATGCGTGTGTAAGTGTATATATATTTTCCTATCTATCCATCTATCTATCTATCCATCTATCTATCTGTCTGTCTATCTATATGATTCAATGAGCTTACGTGATCTTCGCTGCCGCCGCAGTGTCGCATCAACCGTTCTGAAGCATCTACACACGATTTGAAAGTTTGGAACACGCGCCTGCTCGAGGAAGGCAAGTCGTTTGCTCTTCGCGGCCAATGGTCGTTGATGGTGCCAATACCGAAACACGGGAACTAGCAAAGTTACAACCTTTGAAAACCTCAAGGTTTTGCACTAAACCCCTAAACCCGAAAACCCTTACCATTCTTCTGGCTTTGGGTGCTGCAGCCAAGGAGTGTGAGCTTGGTTTGGTTTCCCCGCCGCCGCTGCAATCCAGGTACAAGTTCACAAGCGAAACTGGTGAGATGCTGCGATCATGCAGAGTCCGCACGTTTTTTTCGATATTCTACCCGATGCAAATGAGGAATACTTGTTTTTTTCTTGCTGTTGTTGTAGGGGGCTGTTCAGCTTCAGGCTACCCCCTACAATGTTACTCCGGCAGCTGGGGGAAGGGCCAGCGCTGATCGTTGCTTCCCACGTGGTCCCCAAGATGTGGGGTTTCTCTCAGCTGCCCGACACCTTCAGCAGAACCCTAAATTTTGCAGAGGATGATCGCGACACAAGCTGCATGACGAAGGTGTTCCGAAATGAGAGTGCGAATGGAGGTAGGGGGTTTGGGAAAACAAGGGACTCTAGTTCTAGAGCCCTCGATAGCAGGATTTTTAATATCACTCCAAACATCTCCAACCCTAACAGCTGACCTTAGTGGGATGGAAAATGGACGTTCAAAAAAGCAAGCCCTACACCGTAAGCCCTAAACCGAAGCCTAAACTAAACTTATCGGGGCCCCGGATAAGGTCCCTACGGTTGATGATATAAATCCTGCATTACCCATAATAGGGAAAATGCCATGATTCCCATCGTTTAGGGTAATGCTGGATTTACGTCATCAACAGTAGTCATCCAGGTATGGCCATGAGTGCAGAGGCCGTTCCATGGCGATCTGGTCGGGCCTGCTTCGTTGTTGAGATCTTGGAGATGAGAGGACGGGTTTAGGGTTTGGGGTTTGTGGGTTTAGGGTTTAAGGTTTGGGTTCAGAAGGGTTAATGCTTGCAGGCTTACAGGGTTCTGGGCATTGAAACTGAGAGGACCGGGTCGCGAAGGCTTGGAGATTGGAATCACCGATGCAAGCCCAGAGAGTTTCAGAGCACATCCAACATACGCCGTGCTGTCACGACCTTCCTGGGTGAGCAGTGATGCCGGTCGCTGCTGGCGCCATGGACAACGGGTAGATCCTCGTCTCCCGGAGTGGTCTGACCTGCGGCCTATTAATCTCAAATCCGGGGACCAGGTGCAGTTCTGTCTAGATACGACTGGTGGCATCGAGGTGTACGTGAATGGCAAGCTGCAGGTGCAGTGGCAGCAATCGGACACCGGCGCCCCGATCTTCCCCAAGCCAGTGTATGCTTTGGTTGGGCTCAGGTCTCCTTTGATGGCTCTTTCCCTGCAACTCGGGGAGGCCCCACCAGGTGATGCCTCCGGATCGTGACAGATTCGGCAGCAGATGTTTCTGGAAGAAGGGGGCGAACGAGACCACGTAAGCAGACGCCGAAGTCAAGCCCTAAACCCTACACCGTAGTAAAAGGAGAACTGGGGCTGGCATCTGGACAGAACAGATGTTCGGAGTATGTTGGACGCACTGATAAGTTAATTTTTTGATGACGATACTCCTTGGGATACAGCTAAACTCAGGATTTGGGCAAGTGTTTATGAGGTTCTCTCAAAATAGGGGGCCCTAACACAGTACCCTAAATAGTGGGATCCTCAAAATAGAAACCCCAGAATAAGGCACCACTTACATTCGGAAACTCCCATATAGATGCATCAAGATGTTGTTAACATCCAGCGTGCGGGTGAGAGGTTTGCGGCTCAGGGTTTAGGCTTTAGGGTTTAGGGTTTAGGGCCCAAGCCTGGCTGCTCTACTTGTTGTGCTGTGCTGTGTTTACTATACATAGAGGCTACTCTTGGTGGGGACCAACCTTACAGTAAGAGTGTACCGTAGAAGCATCTCCTGAGCATTCTAGCATAACCTAGCACGAAACTCCTATTCTAGGACATTTTCAGGTGGGTAGTTACCGTTATAGGAGCCTTGTAGAAGGTCTATGTACCTTACGGAAGCCTTATAGAAGCCCTAAATACCCTAAACTCCTCACCTGCAGTTTCCTTTAACATTGAAGCTCCTGCATTACTTCTCGCATGCCTCCGGTGTGGAGTTCAGGGTTTCGCCCACGGGTCAAGTCGCCTATCCGTTTAAGCCCCCGAACTTAAGCACCTACACCCTAGCACTCTAACCCTGACCTTGATTTTAAGGTGGTGTAAAAGCCTATCCCCCTAAACCCTCACAATATCGGTGAATTCCCACGATTGTTTAAACTCACATCCCCAAGGTCACTTGCAACCCTTGGAAAACCCTGTCATCAGGAAACGGAACACAAAATGCTATACAGATTGAGTAGCGCAATTTCGTTAGCACCTCAAAGTGCATTCACCAAGAACGCAGCATGCCCTCAATCCCAAAACCTCCGAAACCCCACAACCCTGCAACCCACCGAAACCGTGTAACCCTGCACCCCCCAACCAACACCCACCCTGATCACCCCCGAAGCGCGCTAAACTCTACACCCCTGAAACCCTAAAGCCAACAAGTTTTCATCAGCGCCAAACCCCAAAGCCCCGACAAGTTAATCGAAAAAAGGCCTATGTACACCACTGGAGCACTAGTCCCTGAAGCCTCGAAGCCCAACAAAAACCCTTAACCCTCTCTCTCTCTCTCTCTTCCCTCCCTCTGTCTCTCTCTGTCTCTCTCTCTCTCTCCCTCTCCTT